AAGCTTGCTCGTGACTCGTGAGACCTAAGTAACCTAGTGCTCTGATACCAACTGTCATGACCCAAAATTTCCACCTTCGGGACCGTGATGGCGCCTAACATTTTTACTTGTTAAGCAAACCAACGTTAGAATAATGCTAGCCATTTAAAAAAAAATTAAATTAATTAATAACAAAGAAACAAATGCAGTAATAAAGTATGAAATTGAGTGAATAATCCATAATAATAGCGATGTCTAAATACCATCCCAGAACTGGTGTCACAAGTGCACGAGCTACTAGAATAATACAAATAAAGGTCTGAATAAAATTCAAGCTATTTGAAAAATAATACACAGCTAAGATACGATAGAAGGGGACTTCAGAACTGCGAACGCTATGCAGCTATAACTCAAGTCTCCTCTTAGTAACTGAATCCGAGCACGTCTACGGTACGCCACTGGGACTAACTTCAAAATCTGCACAAGAAGTGTAGAGTGTAGTATGAGTACAACCGATCCCATGTACTCCGTAAGTGTCGAGCCTAACCTCGACGAAGTAGTGACGAGGCTATGACAAGTCACGTACGTTAACAATCTGTACAAGTATAAACAAATACGAAGCAAAAATAATACAATAAATAACAATTTATCAATTGGAGGGACCATGCGAAGGGGAATGATATAATAATTTCAGTAGGAGAAGTATCACTTAGCAGTCAATTAATTCATCAATAATAAAATGAGCAAATGATAATATAAAAATGGCGTGGCACCACCCTTCGTGCTTTAACTCTCTTTTGGCACGATATCACCCTTCGTGCTTTTACACTCTTTGAAAATGACACGACATCACCTTTCGTGTTTTTACTCTAAAAAATGACACGGCAACACACTTCGTGCTTTTACACTCTTTCTCACCATGACAATGATAGAATAAATAATAAAAATGGCACGACATCACCCTTCATGATTTTACACTCCTTCTCACCATGTTCAACAATAATTAAATCAGTAAATATTTCATGAATAATTATCAAATAATTAATAATAAATTTAAACAGAAATATCTTAATTAAATAGGCAATTATTCAAAATTAAATAAAATCCTCCAGCATGCTTTGACTCAACCACAACACATAAGTACTCGTCACCTCACATATACATTGTACCCGCACATTAAATAACGTAGCAAATAGACAATTGAATCCTACTCCCTCAAGTCAAGGTTAACCACGATACTTACCTCGCTTTCCAGCCAAATTCAAGATTCCAATAAACCATTGCCTCGCGAACTAGTGTCCGAAATCCTCAAATCTAGTCATAAATAATTCAATATACTCAATACAAATCTTAGGAATTAATTCCATATGAATTTACTAATTTTTCGGATTAAAATCCGAAATGCATCTCAAAAATCAAAATCCGAAATTTATCTCAAAATTCAACAGTGGGGCCCACGTCTAGAATCTCAGCAAAACTTACGAAATCCGAACACCCGTTCCGAGAGGAGTCCAACCATACAAAAATTATTAAATTTCGATATCAAATGAACCTTCAAATCTTAAATTTTCGTTTTTAGAAAGTTTTACAAAAATTCTAATTTCTTCTATCTAAATCCGAAAATTATGTATTCTGCCCAGCATTTTCGCATCTGCGGACTATATTTTTGCACCTGCGGCCTCACATTTGCGAGAAAAAGCTCGCATTTGCAGAACAGAGCAGCTCGTCCAGTGGCCGCATTTGCGCTCAGAAATGTCGCACCTGCGACATCGCAGAAGCGCCCTTCTAATCGCAGAATCGGTCTTCCTCGTAGAAGCAGCTCATCCGTCGTGGATGCGGTTGCGCACCGGCGCTCATTTCTCCACAGAAGCGGAGCTCGACAGGGCTGTCCAATATTACAGAAGCGACTGAAATTTTGCAGGAGCGACCACGCACCTGCGTACCAAATGTCGCAAGTGCGACACACCAGAACGAACACTGGGCAACAGGTTCCAATTGCTCGGTAACTCATCTGAAACTCANTAGAACAGGGCAGCTCGTCCAGTGGCCGCATTTGCGCTCAGAAATGTCGCACCTGCGACATCGCAGAAGCGCCCTTCTAACCGCAGAATCGGTCTTCCTCGTAGAAGCAGCTCGTCCGTCGTGGATGCGGTTGTGCACCAGCGCTCATTTCTCCGCAGAAGCAGAGCTCGGCAGGGCTGTCCAATATTACAGAAGCGACTGGAATTTTGCAGGAGCGACCACGCACCTGCGTACCAAATGTCGCAAGTGCGACACACCAGAACGAACACTGGGCAATAGGTTCCAATTGCTCGGTAACTCATCTGAAACTCATCCGAGCCACTCGGGACGTCGTCCAAATATTCCAACAAGTCCAAAAATATAATACGGACTTACTCGAAGTTTCAATTCATGTCAAACAACATCAAAATTATAATTCACACCTCGATTCAAACTTTTGATTTTTCAAACTTTTCAGTTTGCAAAACTCGTGCCAAAACATATTAAACGAATCCGGAATGACTTCAAATTTGGCAACAAGTCATAAATAACATAACAGAGCTATTCTAATTTTCAGAATCGGATTTCGACCCCGATATCAAAAAGTCAAATTCGTGGTCAAACTTTGGAAATCTTTAGCCTTTAAATTCCTAGTTTCCGTTAAATGGCCATAACTTGAGTTAGGGACCTCCAAATTAAATTCCGCCATACGCTCAAGTCCCAAATCATGAGACGGGCCTACCATAACTGTCAAAACACCGATTCGGGTCTGTTTGCTAAAATATTGACCAAAGTCAACTTAGTTGAGTTTTAAAGCTCTTTTTCACATTTTAATCAATTTTTCACATAAACATTTTCTGAAAAATTATACGGACAACGCACGCAAGTCGATGTTTTCAAACTTATTGTTATTGGGCTGGATTGTATCACTTTGGGATTTTCTTATGTTTCNCCATACGCTCAAGTCCCAAATCACGAGACGGGCCTACCGTAACTGTCAAAACACCGATTCGGGTCTGTTTGCTAAAATATTGACCAAAGTCAACTCAGTTGAGTTTTAAAGCTCTTTTTCACATTTTAATCAATTTTTCATATAAACATTTTCTGAAAAATTATACGGACAACGCACGCAAGTCGATGAATGATAAATAGTATTTTTTAAAATTTTAGAATACATAATTAATTATTAAATTTAAAGATGACCTTTTGGGTCATCACACATACCGTTTACCCAATTAAATTTCTTATTATCGCCTTTATATTTTCAAGAGAAAAAAATCAACAACTAATTAGTACTTCGCATTTGTTTCTATTCATATTCAACAACTTAGTAAATAGTAATTCTCATTTTTTACTGTTCATAAAAAGTTCAAAAGTTACTGTTCAGATTCAAATATCTTTTTGGTTTGTTTTTGCACTATATAGCCTAACGTTTTTCTTTTTTGAAGGAAATAAAGATAGTTAATTTTGTTTTATTGTTTTTGGTGATGAACTTTAAAAAAAAACTGGTTCTAATTAAATATCACACTAATACATGCTAAAAGAGCATAATAATTAATATTTTCTTATCTAGCAATTTGCACTGTCACAAAATTTAGTAATTTGCATTTTATTTACCTATGATAACTCTAGTTAGCATTTTATTTAGTAATCTACCATTCAATGGTGTTAATTAGGACAAGCAAGCAATGGATATGTTTGCAATAAGGATGACGACTGCAATGAACAAATGTATTGCATATATGGAACTCGAGCATGTTACGTGCTACTGTAAAATTCCTAATATCCACCTGCTTATAATGAACAAGAGGATCTCCAGAACGATCAAGACTGGAAAACATTGCATTTTATACCATATATGTCTCTAAAAATTTACCTTTTGGAGGATCTTGAGCTCCTCACGGGCATCCCACTTCATTTTCTTGATTGCAAACACTTCTCCATCAATTATACCTTTATACACAGACCCTTGAATCAAACACCCTTCATCAAATCCATCTGTTGCTTCCCAAAGTTGTTCAATTTTATACATTTTATACTTATCTAAACAATCTGAAACATCAGCCATTAAATTCACTTCAACCTCCTTATTTAAAGACTCCTTTTTTGATCCAAGATATAAGCTTTTCTGCCTTTCCACATCACTATACTTTTCTCTCTTACTCTTACCTGACTTCTCTCNTTTACTCTTACCTGACTTCTCTCTATAACCCCATAAACCAGCTAACAAAATCAGTAGCAGCCCACAAATTCCTAAACCAATAGCTAATCCTATGACTGTTCCTTTCTTGTCATTTTCTTGTACTACTGTTGTATTTGTGACAGGTGGAGGACCATTTGAAGCTGTTGGTTGTGTAATATTAGGAAGTTTAGACAGTGGAATGAAAAGGGTATCAAAAATCTTGGGATTATTTCCATTAATTTCCCTTATAGATTGTGGGGTTGTTCCAAATCTTGAAGCAATTGAAGAAATGTTGTCAAAAGGTTGAAATACATAACTAATAAGATATCTTGGTTGGTTTTGGTTTTGGGGTTGTGTTTGTGCTTTGTTTGGACACTTACAAAAAATTGGGAATTCTATGGCTTGACCTATTTGAATATTTTCTAGTACAACAGTTGGATTAACAGCCTCAACATATGGAAAAGTTGTGAGATTTTGGAACTTAACAGTTGAGATCCTGTACATAGTATCACCTGAGTCAGCATATGAGATGTTACCAAAAGTGGTATTGATGTTGTTACAAGAACAAGTGATTGGTACTGAGGGATTGGTCATTGACTAGAGTTGTGTTTGGGGTAGAAATATTACTAGGATTTGCAATCATAAGCCTACTTACTGAAAAAAGGTCACCAATTGAGGCTAAATCAAGAAATTCTGGTCCTCTTGCTCTGTAAAAGACATATGTTTGACATGGATAAAATTGGCTTGAATTACAGCTATAGCCTGTTGTACTTGGTGCATCTTGTGCATAACATAGGTTTTGATTGTACAATAGGAAGATGGAGAAGAAANGAATTTTGGTTATATAAGAGGAAGCTGAAGAAGAAAAGAAGTGAAAAAGTAGCATACATAGGCTTGATTCTCATTTTCTTGATTTGTTTTGGTTTTGTGGAGAAAGACGTGTTAAATAAATACAATGGAGATAAGTGTTATAAGAAAAATCAAATTATTTTGGATGTCTACTCTTCCTCCATGATCAAATTATAGTGGATGTCTACTCTTCCTCCATGATCTTCATCTCAAATGCTTAATGACATATTCAATGACATATTTTTCTTCACTTTTCATGACTATATAAATGCCTTGTAATAGATAGGAAAATATACACAATTGAAGAAGAAAATCTCTTCCTTCTCTCTATCTCTATTTTTTGTTCATGTTTTACTAAATTGCTTTAATTTAATAATATGTTATCAGCACGAATTAGCTTCTACTCAAGTCCGATCCAGCACACACTAGCTACCACCACTCTGCTTTTTGGTATATTTCTTTTAAAGTTGTCATAGTATTGTTATTACGTCTCGAGAATTTTTTTTTCCCCCAATGTTGATTGCTAATCTGTACATATACCAGTTAATTTATATGTTATCATTCTTTAAATATTTTCAACTAATCAATTTTATGCTTATGTAAGCTCCATTACAAGGACTTAATTATTCTGGTAACCACATAAAAGTGATGCATCCATATAATTTGTGGTTAAAGATACTATGTAGTTATTTTTCTGAGTATATTGCCAACAAGATTTAAAATAATTATAGATTGACATTTTATTAAAAATTTAAAAATATATACATATGTCATATTTAGATTGTAAGATCATTATAAAATTGTTATTAAGATATTATAAGAAAATGTAGAATACATATACTAAATCATTCTGTAACAAGACTTTGCCATAATTACAATTGAGCTTTACCTCTCTTTTTATTTATTTTTCTTTGAATTCAATTAAGAATTTGCCACAGAAATTTTCTGTTAATTTTATTGATTCAAAATATTTGTTGAATTCTGTTTATATAAATATGAATACCATATTACATGACTTTTTTTTTTCTTGTTTCATAATTACCCAAATTGCTTCTAATTTATCTATCTTTCTTAATGATAGTTTTTATTATGTCGAATTTATCAAAGCTTATAATTTATGGCACTTGACATCTCCGGAAAGAATTATTTATCATGAGTTCTTGATGTTGAAATTCACCTTGCTGCAAATGCTCTTGAAAATACTATTATACAAGAAAATAAAATATCAGGCCAGGATAAAGCAAATGCTATGATTTTTCTTCGTCATCATCTCGATGAAGGGTTAAAGACTGAATACTTAACCCTAATAGATCTATTTGAATTATGGAGCAGTTTGAAGGAACGATATGACCATCTTAAGGCAATGATATTGCCAAGAGCTCGATATGAATGGATTCACTTATGACTACCAGATTTTAAAACTGTAAGTGAATATAATTATACTGTATTCAGGATAACTTCCCAACTTAAATTATGTGAAAAAATTGTGAATGATGAGAATTTACTGAAAAAAACTCTTTCTACTTTTCATGCCTCAAATATGGTATTGTAGCAACAATACAGTGAAAAGGGTTTGAAGAAATATTCTGAATTAATCGCATGCCTTCTGGTGGCTGATCAACACAATACCCTTTTAATAAAAAATCATGAAGCATGTCCCACTGGATCTGCACCGTTTTCCGAAGTGAATATGGTAGCAGCTACGGAAAAGTCTGAAAGAAGACAAAATTATTATCTTGGTCGTGGCCGTGGCCATAGTCGTGGACGTAGACAAGGACATGGAAGGGGACGAAATAATTATCGTCATCATAGTGGAAATGAATAAGAGAACAATAAGGACCCTCAAAATAATCCTTTAAAAGACAGAGTTAATATTTGCCACAAGTACAGTATGAAAGGTTATTGGGCACATGTTTGTCGTATACCTGGCCATTTTGTCAAACTTTATCAAGCATTCAATAAATAAAAGATAACAATGTGGAGGTACACTTGACTTTTCAAAATAATGATGATAAATTAGGTCCCTCAAACAAATATGATGATGATGAGGCAAATCTTGCATATAAAGATGATGATTTTGGAGGCCTTACAAATATTACTCATTTAGAAGCTGGAGACTTCTTTGAGGATATTGACTGAAGAAGTGATTATTTTACTAGGGAATAAAGCTTTAAGAAAAGTTGCTATTTTCATATTATATCTTTATGTAGTTTGTTCTTCTTAGTGTACTTTCCTAAAGCATCATATATGCTAGTTTCCACATTCCTCGTGTAATTTTTTATATTTCTTTTATTTATAGTCTTTCGTATTTCTTATGATGTACTTTTTGTTTATTTATGAAGAATAGGAAAATTCTCCGGTCTTCAGTTAGATCTAAGATCCATAAAGATGATATATGTCTTTTGGATAATGCTACAACATACTATTTTAAGAAATACGAGATATTTCTCTTATTTGGTGATGAAAGAAGCCAATGTTAATACAATATCTGGCGGTACAAAATTAATTGAAGGCTCAGGAAGAGCAAATTTATTACTACCCGGAGGAACAAATTTGGCTATTAATGAAGCATTATATTATAGTAAGTCTCAACGAAACTTACTAAGTTTCAAAGATATTCACCAAAATGGATATCACATTGAGACTACAAATAATAAAAAAGAGTAAATATCTTTATATTACTACAATAAAGTCAGGTAAGAAATATGTGCTTGAAATGTTACCCGCTCTTTCCTCCGGCTTATATTACACAAGTTTTAGAAGGATTGAAATGCATACCCTAGTAAATGAGAAGTTTACTAATCAAGATAATTTTATTATTTGGCATGACCGGTTAGGTCATCCTGATTCTACTATAATGCGTAAAAATAATTGAGAATTCACATGGACATTCAATGAAGAACCAAAAGATTCTTCAATTTAAGAAATTCTCTTGTGCTGCATGTTCTCAAGGAAAATTAATTATTAGACCATCAACTATTAAAGTTATGATGGAATCCCCTACATTTAAGAGATATTGTGCGGTATATGTTCCAATTGCTCCACCACAACGCACAAAGATGAGTCCCCAAAGAAGGTTGGGGATATATGTTGGGTATGAATCTCATTCTATTATAAAATATCTGAAGCCTTTGACTGGAGATTTATTTTTCGGCAAGATTTTCTGATTGTCATTTTGAGGAATCAATATATCCAACATTAGGGGGAGAAAATAAGCAGCTGAGAAAGGAGATAGATTGGAATGTATTATCACTATCTCATTTAGATCCTCGTACAAATTAATATGAACAAGAGGTTCAAAAGATAATTCATTTATAAAATATTACAAATCAACTGCCAAATACATTCACTGACCTACCAAGGGTGACTAAGTCATATATTCCAGCTGCTAATGCTCCAATTCAAGTTGATATCCTGATAGGATAATCAATTAAAGCAAATAAGTTTGAACCACACTTGAAACGTGGTAGACCAATCAGTTCTAAGGATAAAAATCCTCGGAAAAACAAAATGAGCAAATGATCAAATTGATCATAATACGGAGGTAGTGGCTCAAGAAGAGCATAGAGACATAACAAATGATAAACCTCAAGGGAGGTTCAGGTACCTGAAAATGATCAGAATGGAGAGATCTCAATAAGTTATGTCTCAACAGGAAAAAGATGGAACCGAAATAATATTGTTATTGATAACGTTTTTTCTTATAATGTCGCTGATGAAATAATGCAACAAGATGAGGATCTTGAACCAAAATCTGTCGATGGATGTAGACAGAGAAATGATTGGCCAAAATGGAAAGACACTATCCAGGCAGAATTAGCTTCACTTGCGAAACGTGAAATTTTTGGGTTTGTAGTCCAAACACCTAATGGTGTTAAGCCTGTTGGCTATAAACGGGTATTTGTACGTAAAAGAAGTGAGAAAAATGAGGTACAAAGATATAAGTCATGCCTTGTTTCACAAGGATTTTCACAAAGGCCTAGTATCGATTATGAAGAGACGTATTCTCCTATTATGGATGCTATAGCATTCCGTTATCTCATTAGTTTTTCTGTCCATGAAAAACGTGACATACATTACAGCCTACCTTTACGGCTCACTTGATAATGCGATATATATGAAAATTCCCGAGGGATTTAAAACGCTTGACGCACATAATTCAAAGTCCCAGAAAATATTTTCAATCAAATTGCAAAGATCTTTGTATGGTCTAAAGCAATCAGGAAGAATGTGGTATAACCGCTTTAATGAGTATTTATTAAAAGAAGGTTATATAAATGATATCATTTGTCCATGTATTTTTATAAAGAAAATAACATCAGAGTTTGTTGTACTTGCTGTATATCTTAATGACATAAACCTTATTGGAACTCCTACAGAACTCCAAAAGGCAATTGATTATTTAAAGAAAGAATTCGAGATAAAAGATCTCGGAAAGACAAAATTATGTCTTGGTTTGCAAATTGAACATTTGGCAAACATGTCTTTTGTACTTCAATCTACCTACATAGAAAATATATTGAAACGGTTTTACATGGATGAAGCATATCTATTAAGTACTCCGATGATTGTTCAATCACTTGATATAAATAAGAACCAGTTTCGCCCTCAAGAAAAGAATGAAGAGATTCTTAGTACTGAAGTACCATATCTTAGTGGAATTGGTGCACTAATGTATCTTGCTAATACTACAAGGTCTGGCATAACTTTTTCGGTTTATGTCTTAGCAAGATATAGCTCTGCTCCTACAAGAAGACATTGGAATAAAATCAAACACATATTGCGGTATCTAAAAGGAACTACCGATATGAGATTATTTTATGGCAATGATTGCAGTCCCGATCTTGTTAGTTATGCCGATGCTGGATATTTATCTGACTCACACAAGGCTCGATCTCAAACATGCTATGTGTTTACATGTGGAGTCACTTCCATATCTTGGCGATCGACTAAGCAATCAATCATGGCTACAT